TAGCTACTCTCACTCATTTTGCACTCGCTTGATAAAGGAATTCAGTCTTGCTTCAGGCACATTAGTAAACCAACAGAGACCTAAGGGGCAGGACGCACATGGGAACTGGGACTGCTTCCATGCTCACAGCAGTAGCAATTACACAGTGGCCTTGTGCTTTGAACAGATACCTGTACTCTCCCCCCAGCTGCCAGCTGGGGAGAAAATGAGAGGCTTTTGGTTGCGCTCATGTTCCATCTATGGCTGAGAAGGACCAAAGTGAAATGCATGCCACCACTATAGAGCCAGCTTGCCATGGGCTACACCCTGGCAACTCTTTCCAGCTGTGGCATAAATGCTCTCACAAATGCGCTGGGTTGCGCTATCACCTGGAAGTTTGACTCACTTGGTCACTGTTGCTTCCCTGCTGAGTCCCACCCAGCTCAGACACAGCACATTGTGTCCTGACCTGCTGTGCAAAGGTAGCTACGGTAGCTGTCGCAAAATGGGCTGAAAAGATACTAAGAAGCAATTCTTACTCTGTTGGGCCCTGGCTGGAAAGGTCACTTACAAAAAAAAAAAGAAAAAAAAAAAAAGCTCTTCCAGCTTTATTGTATTTGGACTCGGGCCTGCTTTCCAGAACAGGGAGGGAGAACTATCTACAAAACATGATTATGGACAGCTGCCGAGTTAGCTTCTAGCCCACAGAGACTGCTGGCTGTTTAGAGTAGGGCTATGGTATGGAGGCAACTCCTGCCTTGGCAGAACAATATAAAGATACCAAATACATTTTTTTCCAGGACCTTCTTTCTCCATTACAGCTGCGTAACCTTGGAACCCATCTGGATATCCCCCATTGCTTGAGAGAATATGCCTGGAAATGTTTGCATTGCTTCTGAAATAGGATGGGAACTGAACCAGACAGTAATTAGCATATATTAATTTCTTTAAGCAAGGAATGCAAACTCTTCCCCAGGAACTGGGACAGAAACACCTGTCTAGATTTAACCCTTAAAAGGCCTGTACCATCTTATATTGGGAACCAGGTCAGGTCTCAGGCCCTTCAGACCGGTGCAGGAATCACACGCATCTCTTCCCAGTTATTCTGATCTGCTGTGCATCGTTAGTACTGTCACGCTGCCACAACTGAGAAGCATGTCCAGCATCACAGTGAGCTGGGCTTGCAGAGAAGGATAACATCTTAGTGTAGTCCTCTCAGTGCACTTTGAAGTAGGAAATGAGGCTTCAGCAACTGCTTAGGTCTTTGAATGCTCACAGTCTCTTACAAAAAGGTCTGGAGATGTGGAAGTTGAGACATGAACTAGGAAATGGGTTCTGGGTCAGTGCTTTTTATACCGTTCATTTGTAATATAGGAGTCACAGAGTCAGTGCCATACAGCTGTCCTTCTACATGGGGCAAAAGATGATGGAGCTTGAGCCTTGGGACACAAATGGGCTCATGACTTAAAGAAAAGCAAAGCAAAGCTGTAGAGGTAAGTGTATCAGTGACAGTGAATAAGCAAGAAGCCCACATCCAGTAACTATGGTAAAAGCAGCTCCAGCCCCTGATTTGCATGTGCAGATAACAGAAACCACGTACCTGTCAGCTACTACAAAAGGCAATTCTTCCCAAGTGACCAGCTCTTCTGTTTTGGGCACATTCTTCTCTGGGAGCAGCGGTGCCTGGCCTGTAATGCAAAACAAATTTCATGGGGATCAATTAAAAGAAAAGGTAAAATACCACACAGAATTAGGTTTCTGGGGAAACTTGGGCATTACACCTCGCAGCAAAACTGTGAAGCTATAAGAAACTCCCCCACAACAATCAGAACCTTGCAGTATTGCTCATGCTAAGGGGGCATTATTTTTCTCTTTGTAAGCTAAGTCATCTTTTTTTTTAAAATATTACAAATACATAAAATAAAACATGCTGCACCAGAAACATGTAAGCAGCTATTAGAGGGGAAAGTCATTGAGAAAGACCCTAGAATGTAACTTGTTGAGCTTTTATTACCAATCAGAGCTGAGAAAAAGAGCTTCCACTTTGTATCTACAAGCTATAATCGATCATATGGCCAAAGGCCACTCTGTTGTTGTTGTGGCTGGGTTATGTGGAGAAGCCAGAGAGACAGAGGCTGTGAGAATGATGCAGGGAGTTATAGACTGTCAGTGAAAAACAGTATCTACTTAACTATTATCTGCTCCTAAAAAGAAAAAAAGAAAAAAGAAAAAACCTGTTAAATAAATTGTATTCTTGTGGTACAGGTCATTTCGAACAAAACAAGAAATAAAACACAGAAATGTAAAAACTAACCCAGACAGAGTAATGTTTATTGTGTTTAGGAGCTGCTCCGTTCTGTTCCTTGGGATATACATAGTCCCATGGAAGAGGCTGGGGTGGGGGAAGGCATGATCTGTGCGTGCTGCGGAAGGGGAGTAGAGCCCCAGCCCTCTCACTTAGAAATGCTCATTTGGTTTTTTCCCATATCCAGAAAAAAAAATTCTCAGCAAGCTTCTGAGTTTTTGTGAGATTAGCTTTGTTGAGGACTGGTTAGACAGGCACTGTTGTCGGTCTCTGCCATGGACTGGTCTGTTTCTTCCACTCACCCATTTTCTCCCCACATTCTGCACTTCACTGGTGTGAGAAATAAACATGAGCCAGCAACGAAAAAGCCTTGAAGTTGTTCCAGTGAAAAGCAAAATCTCTAATCATAAAATAGACCACTGGCTTAAACCCAACGGTGACATCATGAGTGTTGCAAGCTGTCCAGTGCTTATAAAGTGGGTGCAAGTGCTGAAGTCATGGCATTTGCGTTGATCTGGCAGTCAGGCGCTGCAGGAGGGCAAGCTCATGTCTGCTTGAGAAAGCAGAAGGAAACAGACTGTGGTAATTGGGGCAGAGACGTGAGAAACAAGGACCCCAGGTTATTATTCTACCTCTGACTCTGCTGAGCACAGGTAGCATCACACCCTGTCTAAGCACTGCCATCTCCACACGCCTCACTTAGCCAACACTGCTAAGGTCCTTCTCCCAGGCAATGGCACTCGCTGGGATGATGCATCTAAACCAGGCAACCAAGAGGCTCTCGGCCTGCCCGCAGGAGGAGGAGGTGGCTGAATTAGTGGTGGCCAGTAGGAAAGGCCATGGGCTAGAAATGAGCTTGAATGAAAAAACAAGATGAGCACAGAGCTGGAGAGGGAGGTGAAGCATGACAAGGTTTTTCTACACTTACAACAGCTACCCCCAGCCCCACAGTCATGACCACTCTGATCGTGACAGGCTCAACCTTTAAACCAACACAATCCCTTTCCAGGTTCACATAGGCGCCTCACAGTCTCCCCCATAGCCCACCTGCATCGAGTGCTTAGGCCCTCCGAAGGTTGTATCTGTCCACAGAAGGTTTGGATTTGGCCACCACAGTAGTATTTTAAAATGGACTTTACTTCGGGTTAAATATAGCACAGGGACAGTCAATCTGTGGCTTTGTGAAAGGCAGCAGTTTTGGGGTTCTGAAAAGTTTATGTGGCACTGGAGCTGCCGGTGTCAAGAGATTGGTAAGGGTAGCCAGAGGACTACAGAGAGCCCGGGCCCCACTGGTCTCTTCAAACACCATTCAAGGGATGTAAGCTTTCCTCAGTCCCTTACCTCTAAGTGGCAGCTGCCTGCCTTACATTTCCTGGGCACCCTTCTGCTTTGACTAGGTTTTTCGAGACTTTCCTTACTACCGTTCACTCACACTGGAATTAAAAAAAAGGGGGGAGGGGGTTGTCTTTATAGTAAGCACACTGAGCACTGGGAGAAACTGAGGACAAGCTGAAATTTCCTCTTACAGAAGAGCTTCACAGGAAATACTAGAAAAATATTCTATTTTCTCTGATTAGCTGGGGAGGAAAGGAGTTTTCTTTACTAATCAATGTGGACTTCTCTAAACACATTTCTCTTCCCCCAAGTTAAAGGCATGCTTAACCGCTGGGATATGTTCTTAAGCTCCAAATGTTAAAACATGATTGCAGTCGTTTGTGGGTACCTGCACACAAAATAAAATGAAAACCAACAAGATTTTTCTCTTTCAGGCTAAGGTATTACACAGGGAATCAAAGCAAACATTAGCTGATGTACAGAAAACTTCAGTGTTCAACTTCCCAGTAACAGAAAGCTGGAGAGGTTGCGCTGCGTGCCTGGCTTTCTTTACAAAGACGTTCTCTCCCATTGCAACCATTCTGAAATGACACCACGGCAAAACCTGAACACCTGCACCTGGGAGC